CTTTTCCCAAACAAATGGCTGAATTCTGAGCATTTCCCTCATATAGCAGTGTGAATTTCCTTTGAAATCCTCTGTAACCCTGTAGCATTCCATACCTGTGGTTGGCAGGTGGTTTCCATTTCATTGCCTGGTCGAAAAAGCAGCTGTCATGGCTAGAGAGAGGGGGAAGAGCTGCTATCCTGCTCTTCCCCTCCCCAGGCAGAAGGAGCCATAGCTCTGACCACTTACCTCTTGGGTGGTGGGTGCTGGTCACATCCTGACCTGTAATACCTGTAGTCTCTGCTTCTGGCAGCTTGGGTGGCTGAGCTTATTTCCCACAGGAGAACTGTTTGAGTCTCTGGCTATCCCTTTCCTTGAAAGCCTTCTATTCAAGGTGGAACCATCCTTAAAGGTGGGATGACTTAATTCTCAGCAATAGCTCCATCTCTCTGACTTTAAAAAGAAGATGGAGCAGTCCAGTCTCCGGCTTTAAACTTCTCATCTCTTGACTGTTGACAGCAAGCCCCTCCTTTCAGTCCATGAGGGCTAGTTTTGGGCTCAGTTTTGAAGCCCATGGAGGAGTGTGTGAATTCAGTTCTGGCCTCTTCTTGTGCGAGTGCTGCTCTTGTATTATGCCCTTTCTCTTTGGCTTGGCCAAAGCACTGAAGTGAACTGTTTTGTCATCACCGTGTTATGCAGATGGTAACGATGGATCTAACCTGATTCAAATGTCCAAGAACGGCCTCTCAGTGTCAATGGCTTCCTTGTTCTCAGGTACCCTGCAGTGCTCCCCTGTGGCACGCGCGTGTGTGTGTGTGCAAGGTGTGTGTGTGTGCACGTGCACACTTCTCAGAAACCTGCCTGGTTTTGGAACTGTGAATGTGTTCCACTCTCATCCAGATGTCAGCAAGAAAAGCCACAGCAGGATGGAGTAGAGAGGAGGCAGAGGAGCTTTGCCGTGGGCTTCGTCCCCAAGGGCGTTTTGCCGTGCAGTATTTTGGATATACCAAATGTGTTTGCTGTGGTGAAGACTTGTCTTACCTTGGGGTTGAGCTTGGCAGGGTGATGGCACAGCTTTGTGGCTCTGTAGGTGCTGAAGGCTGAGCCTGGGCTAGATGAGAGCAGAGTCCTCTACAGTGTGGAACAACGTTTCCATCCCTAGTGCCTTGGGGAGTGTTATCCTGCTTGACTTGGCAGAGCTGGTGTGCCATAGCTCTGATCTGAACCATGGCCAGCCCTTCCTGTCTTGCTCAGACTTGACTTGGAGTGAAATCCTTCCAGAAAGAAGTCCTGGAGGGAGAAGTAGACAGGGCACAGGCAGTTTATGCTGGGAGCCCTGGGCACTGAGATCACATGCAGCCAGGTCTTGCCTAGGGTTTTTGTTGTTTACAGTACTACTAGCTAATCCTTCTGGTTTGCTGGCCACACTTAAATAACCTTCATGTGCTCCCTGTTTGCTTTAGCAAGGGAACAGCCTGCTGGGCTGCTGCTGGTCTCTTCTGTCAGGTGTCTGGTGCTTGTGCATTGCTTCTGATGGAGATAGTGATGCTCTCAGCTTCTCTGTCAGCCCTGCTGTGTTCACAAGCCAGGGATTTAATCCAGGGGGCTCAACCTGTCCTGAAGCTGTCATATGGGGGCTGGGGTAATGTCCTTGGGTTTGAGGGTTGTTCACAAGCCTCCTGGAGACTGTCCCACCTGGTGATAGCATTGGCAGCAGAGATGTTTTGGGCTTTTGGAGAGTGTCTGCAGTTAAGGTTGGGAAGTGAGTGGTGGTGGGATCCTAGTGCATCTCCTACGGGTCAGATTTGGCTTCTGAGACCATGTCAGTGCCTAAGTGTCCTAGCTCTGCCTCCCCATAACACCTGACCCACACTGTGCTGTGTGTGCCCCACTGTTGGCTCATGTTTGTTGTAGTCTAGGACCATGTGGCACCTTCCCGCACAGAGCGGAAGGCACCAGAGCATAGCAGGTATGTCTGGCTGGTGTCCCACATGGTTGCTAGGCTGTTTGTCTGAATTCCCTGTTTTGTGCAGCTAGAAGTCTGTTTGCATGATGTAGATACGCAGATTCCTTAGCATTAGGATGCTTTCCTGTGCCTGTTCTAGCAATGGATGTCAAACAATGAGGGCCAAGCGTTCATGCTGAATTCCAGTAGTGTGGGTCTGTAAATTTGCAGGACTTGCTCCTGTTGTTTTCAGGGCAGCCCTGCTTTTTGTAGGGAAGCTCAGGGTGGAGTGGGACTCTGCTCAGCCAGGCTGTGATTCTTGTGGCCTTAGTGTGCACTTGGTGCCTTGCTGGGATTTTATTAGTCAACCTGCTTGGGGTAGAGGAGCAGGGACCCTGAGCTCTGCCTCCCCATGCCAGATACTGGGTCAGGGGAAGATGCAAGCCTCTGTTTGGAGGTAGTGTGGTCACTGTACCACCATTGCTGGAGCTCCCCAGAGGTACAAAACAGGAGGACTTCTGGGCTGAAGGTTGTGGCATTGGCCACTCTTCTGTCCTGACTTGCCTTCTTCCCTTTTCTGGGAGTCTATCTGCAATGAAGCAGGGTTTCTGCCTGCTTGTGTCTGCATTGTGCAGCTGGAAGTCTTCTGTCCCAGGGCTGTTCCAGTGTTGAGATGAGTTTCCTGTCAAGGTTTAACCTGCTGGAGTGAAAGAAAGATATGTGGTGAAGGTACCACTGGGTACTGCCTGGTAGCTGAGCTGCAGGGCAGCCCAGGGCTGTTTGGGAGCTGATGGTGGGGTGGAGGGAGCAGGACCCCAGTGTCCTGCACTTTATCTTGATCCCCTCCCTCCTCAGGAGATGAGTCTGTGGCCTCTGCAGAAGGCTGGCCCCATGGCTGCTGGCTCACTCTGCAGAGATGCTGACATGTCTGTGGAGTGCTGTGCAGTCACTGACAAGCTGTGTCATGGCCAATGTCTGATCTTACAGGTTGCAGTCGAGTAGAGAGAAGGGCTCTGCATCCCATTGCTAATCTCCTGCACCATTTATACTGTGTGTAGAGAGCTACTAAACCTTCTTGCTAACCCTGCAGTCCTGCCCTCCTAGCTCCTGTGTGCATTCAGGCCACATCACTGCTAGACTTGGTGTACCTGTACCAGCAGCCACTTGTCTCCTCCAAGCTCCAGGCTGGCTGTTTCCACAACTCCCACCATGTCTTTCCCTTGTAACTCTGACAGTTGACTGGTTAGGCTGCACCCCTCCTTGCTGCTCAGTGCCACTGGTAGAAGTTGATGCTGTAGTTCATGTGCTTTTGAGCAGCTTGATGAGTTTTACATTGAAGCTTTGGTTTGAAATGAGTGTATCCCCCTGCCTTTCCCCATCTGTTCCACCTTGTCTATCTGTGATTCAGATGCAGACATCAAGAGGAACCCAGAGTCCAGCAGGAAGTCCTTTCTCTCCTCGGAGTCCATGTACGTCTTCAACTCATGATGACACAGCTTGGTACCAAGTTCTCCTCCCTGCCCAGCTCTGCCCTTCCACATGCATCAGCTGCTGTTTTGCACGGGAGTAGACATCCCTCTTTCTCTACCCCCTGCCTTCCCTTTCTCCCTCTCTCCCTCCCTCCTTCCCTTCCTTTACTTAGAAGTTGGGCACTGGTCCTAGTCCTAAATTTGGGAAGCAGTACCTGTGATGATCTGGTTATTATTATATGTGGTAGATATGATAGGGACTGGTGTTGGGAGAGATGCTCATACCTCTTGGTAGGTAAGAGGCTGGTGACAACCTAGAGCATCTGGACTGGCTGCTGGCTTGCTGCTGAGCCTCCTCTCAGCTGGGATGGCCTGTTAGACTACATGGTGCTGCCACCTGCTCTTCGACCCTTGCTGCTGTGCTGTGACCCAGAGGTGGAACTGGGGAGAGCTGCAAAGACAGAAATCAATCATTTATCAATTTTAAGCTTATGTAGCAGTGCAGAAATAAGGTACCAGAGTTGAAGGGAACATCTTTAGCTTGGGCTGGGACTGGTATAGGGGGTTGTGAGGAGGGCACAGCTGTGAGACCCAGTGCTAACCACTTCCTTTGCTGTCTAGATCCTACTCCTTCCTCAGTTCCAACTCGGCAGAGGCCGTGGCCATGGGCTTGCTGAAGCAGTTCGAGGGCATGCAGCTCCCAGCTGCCTCTGAATTGGAGTGGCTGGTCCCTGAGCATGATGCCCCTCAGAAGGTAGGGCTGTGAGTCCCTGTCACCAGTTGCATTTGATGTTCCTTGAACCCCTGGTGTCAGCCCACTGCTGAGGGGCTTTGCTTGTCCTGTTGATCCCTTAGTGGAGCTGGAGGACAGCATTTGTCTGACCTCTGGAGATGGGTTCAGCCAAGCAGGGCTCTGCCACCACAGCCTCCTACAGCAGTATCCAGATCCCTGGATACAGCCCTTGTTCAGTCCTCATTCAGCTGGAGGAGCAACTTGGTGTCACAGTTTTCCAGAGGACTGCAGTTGCAGGTTTCTGGTCATCCAGCCAGGTGCACTGCCTTTGCAATACCAGGCAGGGATCTGAACCTCTTACCTGCCTCTCCCAGCTCCTGCCCATCCCTGACTCTCTGCCTATCTCTCCCGATGATGGAGAACATGCCGACATCTACAAGCTGCGGATTCGGGTGCGCGGAAACCTGGAGTGGGCCCCACCACGACCACAGATCATCTTCAACGTTCACCCAGCCCCAACGTAAGGACTTGCATGGCTGGGGGCTCTCAGGGGACCTACCCTTTCCAACCCTTTTCCATCAACACCAAGGTTCCTTATCCTGTCCTTCCTGTTTGACTGCCAGGGCTTCCCTGCACTGAGCCTGGTAAATCCATGGTGATCACCATCGTGAGATGGTGAGATGGAGCTAGTGCCTGTGATCGGTGCCTTTGGTGTGGACCAGGACACAACAGGGCTTTTCCCCTTGGATTTGTCATCCACACAAAACTCCCAGACCAATACCCATCTTCTGGTGCCAGGTGCTGTCAGGGCTGGGCTCATGCATGTTGTCCTCTGTGTCTGGGCAGGAGGAAGGTGGCTGTGGCCAAGCAGAATTACCGCTGTGCAGGCTGTGGCATCCGGACTGATCCTGGTGAGTGTTGGGAGCCCTGACCTGTAGCTGGAGAGTGGGGAAGAACCTGTGGACAAGCAGAAAGATGCCGAGTGGGTGGGCAGTGGCAGAGCTCAGCACATGGTCACTGGGGCAGTGGTACACTGACTTTGCCAGCTCTGCCTGCAGTTTGGTGTGCACCATCTGCAGAGGAGCCTCCACCTCCAGAAGGTCACAGCGCTGCTGGAGGCAAAGTGCAGTCAGCCTGTCCTTTGGAGGACATTTCAGACGTTGACTCTTGTAAGGCAAAATTCTTTGGTGGCATCCTCAAGCTCCCAGCAGGTTCTGCTGTGGGTACAGCTACAGAGCTCTTCCCTAAACATGTAGGTAGATGTGGCTGCATGAAACTGGACTGTGGTCCTTTTGCAGTCAGAGGGATGCTTGCAGACCCCAGTGTTGAGCACCCTGAGGCTGGAGGAGTTACCAGCAAGGCAGAGTGCCTTGTTTCTTTTCTTAGCAATGCTTGTTGGAAATGCTGAATAACACTGGGAGTACAGTATGGGGCTGGGCAGAGCCCATGCCTGGGCTGACCTCCCTGTCTGCCCGGGTTTGGCCAGATTACATCAAGCGGCTGCGATACTGTGAGTACCTGGGGAAATACTTCTGCCAGTGCTGCCACGAGAATGCCCAGATGGTCATCCCCAGCCGCATCCTGCGCAAGTGGGACTTCAGCAAGTACTACGTGAGCAACTTCTCCAAAGACCTGCTGAGCAAGATCTGGAGTGACCCGCTCTTCAACGTGCAGGATATCAATCCTGCCCTGTACCGGAAAGTGAAGGCTCTCAACCAAGTGTGGGTAAGACCCTTTCCATGCCGTCCTGAGTGGGGTTTGGGTGAGATGGGAGGCTGCCAATTATAAACCATATTCCAAGGAAGCTGGAGAGAAGCAGATAGTTCAGTTTTTGACACCTGAAACCTCAGCACTGTGTGTTTCCATTCACCTCTTCTTTTGTCAATAATGTAGGAATTTCAGAAGGAATTTCTGGCTGATAGCCAGCCAGGCTTCAGCTTGTCTCCTGGAGCATATGACAATGGTTGTGCTCACCTTGCCTTGTGTGGTGTAAACACTTTGGAAACGGGGGAGCAGCAGCTGAGGAGCAGCAGTTGTTTCACCAGCATGGGGAATGAGGCAGAGCTGCTTGGCCAAGGACTGTGCTCTGTTTACTGATTCTTGTGTCCCCCTCTTCATCTCCAGCTGCTGCGAATCCAGCTCTTCCACATGAAGAACATGTTTAAGACGTGCCGACTAGCTAAAGAGTGAGTCCTGGGCTGTGAGATGAGTCTGTTTTGCTGTCCTGGTCCTGTCCCAGAGCAGTTTGCACTGGGGATCTGTACAGCCTGTGTAATGAGCAGCAGGGAGAGAGGGTAGTGGAGGGGGAGAGAAGCAGAAGGAATGGAGAGAAGGGACTTAGTGGAGTGACTTTGCTCTGAGCTCTGGTTTCTCTGTCCTTGCAGCCTTCTGGACTCCTTTGACATGGTGCCTGGCCACTTGACAGAGGATTTGCACCTCTACTCGCTGAATGACCTCAGTGCCACAAAGAAAGGGGACCTGGTGCCTCGCTTGACAGAGCTCCTGAAGGCAGGCAGCATGCACGTTGAGAAGTGCATGGTAAGGCCTCCCTCACCTGCCTCCTGCATGGCTCCACACCTTCAGGAGCACCCTTGGCAGGCTTTGCTGCAGAGATAACTGATGGGAAGGCTTTAATGTGCAGGGCAGTCATCAAATTAATTGATAAAATGCTAACTGTTCCTGCTTGCTCTACAAAGCTCCTACCCAGAATGTGTGGGATATTTGTTACCCCATTTTGACTCTCCCCCACCCCTGACACATGTTGATTCTGCCTTGCTGTGCTACATGCTGGGGAAGGGTTGTCCCACATGATTAGAGCAGGGCACTGTGTCCTGCTGTCCTTTTCTGCTCTACTTCCTGCCCTGTTTGCCAGGAGAGATGCATTTAGCTGCTTATTCCTCATCTTCTCTTTCCAGCTGTGCCAAGCCAAAGGCTTCATCTGTGAGTTCTGCCAGAATGAGGATGACATCATCTTCCCCTTTGAGCTGAACAAGTGCAAGACATGTGAAGGTAAGATACTGGGGAGAAACAGGGAAGGGACAGACCCTGGGGCCACCGTGGTCTGCCTCCAGTCTGAGTGACATTTGTCCTAGCAAGAGGTACAGAGGCAGAGCCAGTTAGACCAGAGTGCCTCTGTGCATGGCTTGTGTCTGCAACACATTATCACAGCAGCAGATCAGCATTATAACAGTGTTTGGCCAGAGCTGCTGGCATGGTGGAGCATGTTAGGTCCCCTCCTGACCACACTGTGTGCTGCCTGCCTTGACAGCAGTGGACAGTTGGGTTGTGACTGCAGTGAGTGAGTGCCTGGGAGCCCTGGCTTCCCTTCTGCTGTGGTTACAGAGTAGGCTGCACCCTGCACACAGTTCCCCTGCCCCTGCTTGGATGTCTGGAGCTGACCTTGTAGAGCAGAGAGAACCTGAAGGCTTTGTGTCTCTGCCCTTCCTGCCTGCCAAGGAATCCCCAAGTCCTTCAGGGCTCACCCTTGATAATACCCGATACTAATGGCCAAGCAGAGCTTACCCCTGCAGCTTGGGACCAGCCTCTGAACTGGCTCAAAATGGCTCATGACAGTATGCAACCTTGGTTTGGCAGCTGCAGTGCCAGAGAAAACTTGGGGCAAACTCAGTGTTTATTTGGAGTATCAGGAAAGTTTGGGGAGGGACCTTGTGTGGAGCAGGAAGCTTCCCTCCTGTGCTCCCAAAGGTCAGTGCAGGGACCTGGGGTGTGGAGTGTCAGGCAGTCTGTCAGCCTCTGCAGGCTCTCAGCTATGCTCTCCCCCACAGAGTGCAAGGCCTGCTACCACAAATCCTGCTTCAAATCCACCCGCTGTCCCCGCTGTGAGCGGCTTCAAGCCCGGAGAGAGCTGATGGCCAAGCAGAGCATGGAGTCCTACATCTCGGACTATGAAGATGAGCTGGAGCAGCCAGAGGCAGTGGCAGCCACATGAGCATGCTGCAGCCAAGTTGCAGATTGTGGGTTTACGTGCATGGCCTTCATCACCAGAGACTTAGCTACACAGACTGGAGATGAGGAGGACTATTGGGAGGCCTGGAGTGCTCTCCAAGTGATCTGTTTTCCCCCATGTGGTATTGCTGGACTGGGAAAGGGGCATATTCCATCATCTGGATCTGCTCCAGGTACTGCTCACACTCCCTGATGCCTTTGCTTGGGGAAAGGTGGCTGCTCCTGCCTGTCCTGCAGGCAGAACAGGGACCTTTTCCAAGCAGTTCTTCATGCTGGCCCAGGCAGAGCTGTGCTGCCTGTCCCTGTGCCCTGCTCCCAAGCAGGGTTCCCTGAAGGGTCAGCACTTTGTACTCATCAGCTGTTTACTGGGAAGCTCTGGCCACATCTGCTCCTTCGAGGAGGGAATCAGCTCTCCGAGTTCTCTGATCCTCCATTCTGCTGCTGTGGGTTGTGTGCAATGAGGGAGGGTGGGGGGTTGGAGTTGGTTGTGCATTTCACAGCTCCCTTTCTCAAACCTGGCATGGGGACACTGCCAGAGAGCAGTTGCTCTCACTCCAGGATCAGAGCAGAGGAGGTGGCAATGGTGAAAATGCCAGATTTCCCTGCCCTCCACCCACAGTCTGTGCTGCAAAGGGACATTGTCCCTGGAGCAGCCACACAAGGAGAGTGGTGCTGATGGACTTTTGGTGGAGGCAGATCCCCATGAAGCCATGGGGATACAGTAAGTCACAGATCCAACCCTACTTCCTCCTAATGCTGCCAGTCTGTCCTCCCAGGGGGGACATGTCCTCCTCTAAGGGTGACATGGGACCTCACTGTGGTGGCACCAGGACCTGCCTTGTGTGCAGCTGCCTTCTGCCTGTTGGGATGTGGGTGAAGGCTCAGCCCTCCAGCCACATCCCCCGAGCCTCGGTTTCGGTTTATTCTTTTAGGTTGAGTTTTTGCTTTTTAATCTGATGGATTTGGTTTTATTTTTTTAATGTAGCTCTTTGTATTTTTAACTCTGTGTTTCCCCCCAAGGAGGTGCTGCTTGAAATGCCTCCTTAGGGAACATGCAATCTGCTTACTCACCAGTGTAAAATCTCCAGGGCTGTCCTGCTCCTGGTTCCTCACCCCTGGATGGGGCTGGCATTTGCCAAGTGTCCCCTCTCCCAGGAGATTTCCTGTTACCCTTGGGAGAGGGGTCCCTGAGCCAGGCAAAGCCTCAAAGCTTCCCAGCTGCAGTGCAGCAGGGTGGCCAGGCAGCCTGCTTGCAATGGCGTGCACAGGGGGAGAGGGGTTTGGCACTGGGTGCTGCAAAGGGTTGATCCCTTGTGATGCAGAGCTGCTGTGACCAATGGCTCCACAGGGTTGGACATGGCATAGGTGAGCTCTGTGCCCTGAGGCTTGTGGCCAGTTGAGGAGGTGGCTCTGCATCACAATGGGTGCTTCAGCCCGTGGCATGGGTGAGTGTCCAACACCACCTTACATGGGTGGGATGTGGCATGTTTGGAAGGACAGTGTGGCCTGTGTACGTGCAAGAAGAGTGTTGAGGGACTGGGGAGCAATGCACTGGCAGGGGTGTCGAGAGGCTCTTCCAGCACATGCCCTGACGCAAGGCTGGGATGTGACCTCTCATGTGGTCTCCCTGCAGGGGTGGCAGGGTTGGGGAGAGGGGAAGAAGCTGGGACCAGGAGAGGTGGCTGTAGGGCTTGAGCAGGGAGTGTGGCTGCAAGCCTTGGTGCTGGGGGCTGGGCGGCTGCAGAGAAGCATCTCTCCCCTGCTTGCAGCATCCTGACAAAGTCCTGGAACCAGGGTTCAGCTCCTCACTTGCTCCCCTGGCGTTTTTGCTGCCTTGTTGTCTTGCTTCTGCTTGTTTTCCCCAGTGGAGCAGATGCTCTTCTACTCACTCTCCATCTCTGCAAGCCCTGGGGCTGCCAGATGCTGGTATGCCTTGCTCTTCCTGTGCCCAGCCCAAACCCTCCTGCTGCTGCCCGGAGCTGGCACCCCCTTCCCTGGAGCTGCTGTAGCAGCACACCTCCATCCACCCTCTTTTGTTTGAAGCACTTTATTGTAATGGAGCAGGAGCTGAGAGGCTGCCTGCATCCCTTTCTAGAAGCACTGAGTACATTTAGAGAAGCGGGAAGGAATTCTGGCTTATTTATGGTTTCCACCCTCTGCAATGGACTGTCTGGAAGCAGCAGGACTTGCAAACCTGGCGGAGGTCTCCAGGGCAAGATTGTGCCCAGCACTGACACTGCTGCCCAGCACTGACTGCTACAACTAACACTGGAACTGGCCAAGGCAGTGAGCTCTTTGTGAGGGAGAGCAGGGGGCTGCCCTGGCTGTCAACTGGAGCCCTCCCCACGGGATTGTTATTGCACAGCATAGCAATTAAAATGCCGTCCCTAATAAACTAAGTTAATGATAGGTAGAGTTGTGTCGTGATATTGTTTCAGGTGGGGTAATGGTGTGCATCCCACCTTGAGGTCATGGGGCAGGCAGGGAGTGCTGCTGATGGCAGAGGGCAATGTGGGGGATAGCTTGTGCAGCTGGTGATGCATCCCCAGATGGCACTGGAAGTGGGTTATTGTCACCACCCCTTGACTAATTAATCTGGTTTGTAGCCTACCCCTGCAAACTGCCCCCTGGACTCAGAGCAGGAGGTACAAGCCACTGAAATGAGAGGCTCTCTCTGTAATGCCTGTTCCCTTCCTGAGCCTGGCTTTGCTGCTGGCAGAGGGGCCCAGGAGCATGGCCTTGGCTGCCCTGTCCCTGCTTGCATTCCTGTCCCATGCACTCTGGCTCTCCCTTCCTAGCAGTATCATGCATCATTCATAAACACCATTGACAAAGAAGATACAAACTAAAACAACCGTTGAAGGATGCATCTGCCAGCCCAGCCCAGCACTGGCCCACGAGGAGCCACTTTCTGGGGGCTTTTCCCCAAAAAACCCTGCTCAGCCTAAGCTAAGTTGTGGTTAGCAGCAGCAACAGAGATGTGGGCTACTCCTGAACACAGTGGTTGCAGAAAAGGTTTCTGGCAGGCACAGGCATGCTGAGGATGGGCTCTTGCAGCTGCCAGCAAACCTGTGGCAGCATGAGGCTCCAGCAGCTGCCCCAGCATGGCAGCTCAAGCAGGGATGATGGCAGAGATGAGACCTGCAAGACCCTGGGGCTTGCTGCTGTTACAGTGAGCCCTCCAACAGCACCCAGGGTGATCCCTGCAAGCTGTCACTCTGGCAAAGGCATATCTACCCCAGCACAGAGGGGCACAAGCCATCTCAAGGCACACTGTGCCTGTCACTGGGAGGCTGCGGGGGCATAGCGACGCTCGAACTGGTCCACATCGAACTTGCGCTTGCAGCCGGCATAGTTCATGTAGCGAATCTTTCCAAAGATGGCCCTCTCTGCCCAGCCCTGGTCATGTATGCCACAGATGGACCAGAGGCAACCTGCCAGGCAGGAAGACAGAGAGTCAGCAATCTCACTTGCTTGGAGGCACATGGAGAGCAAGTGGGATGTGAGTGCAAAGCAGGATGGGCTGAAGCATGGGCTGGGTTGCCTGCAGAGAGCCCCCATGCACCCCCCTCCCCCCACCAGGCAGCCTTAGCAAACAGCCCATGCCCCCATCCTGCAGCTTGCCTACATATCCATTGGGGTCCCTCCCGTCCAGCTCGTAGCGGTCATTGAGGTAGATGGCAAAACGCAGAGCCTCCTCAGGGGAGCGAGTCCACTCCAGGATCTTCTTGGCCCAGTACATCCGCAGGAAGCCATGCATCTTGCCTTCCTGGACCATTTGGATCTGGGGGGATAGGGTCAGTCTGTGCCAGCTCACCTCTGTACCTCAGGACAAGGCGCAGCATTTTGCAGGGGAGATGTGGGGCACTTACCTGGGCAGCGTTCCAGAGCGGATCGTGTGTGGTCCCCTGCTCCAGCTCCTGCAGATCATAGAGATAAGGCCGCTTGTCTTTGGCGTGGAGTCTCAGGGTGGTTTGTGCCCAGTCATAGGCACCTGTGAGCAAGAGATGAGGAGCAACACTGAGCAACTTGCTCCTGCAGGGCCCCTGAAGAAGGGATTGGGCTAATGAGGGCACCCACCAGCTCCTGTCCTATCCCCAGAAGGTACCAAATGATAGGCCATTAGTGCCCCCACAGCCCTTCTCCTAGCAGGAATAGGATTGCCACATTGGGGTGGCCAGTTGGGTACCAACCCACCCTCCAGTGTTGCCAGCCCAAGCCAGGATGCTACCCTGCACACTGTCGTAGTTCTCGTTGTAGTAGCAAAAGTTTTCAGCCAGCTCCCGCCGCACCACGGCCTCCTCCACGAATGCATCCACCGACTCCTTGTACTTGTGTCGATGCTTCTGCACCTCCAGAATGGCTCGTTGGGTGGAAACTTGGC